GACTCCAAACGGCCAAATGATCCATCAGGCAGATTAGTGAGAAAAGAAAGCTCACCATGCTGACGCTTACCGTGGTCATCTCCCCCTGAAGGAAGTACACCACGGTTCTTGAAGGTGTGGAATGAAAGTCCTCTCCTCCACTTCAGCGAGCGACTACTCTGCGAAAGCCAAAACCCACAATGAGAAGGATACATGATGGTCACGAAGTATCCATCACCCTTGTCATCTTGCCAACGGCAGACTTCGGCACAAAAGTGCCAGAAGGCATTGGTAGCCTTCCTGGTCCAACCATCAGGGATGACAGGATGAATCAAAATGTGATTAGGCTCTGCCTTCAAGATCACTCGCCAAGCGGCCTCAATCGAAGATTGGATAGACTTGGCGTTCCATTCACCAAACAACACAGGTTCACTCGCATCAAGTCCAGAATGGACTGTGCACGCAGTAAGCCCGGTGAGGCGAGGTGTGATCTCAACGAAATCGCTCTTGCCTGAAGTGAGAGTGTGGTAACAGATCTCATGCTCATAGCAGAACCCAGAACCGGCACGATCAAGAATATCGTCGCCGATGCGGTCGAGTGCCTCTTCCTGAGAAGAGCGTCTCGGGACCTCATCTTTCTTCAGAGGAATGGCCACATCATGCCACGGATCTCCATCACGCCTGACCTTCGACTGATTAACCCGAAGAACGGCACGATGAACTTCAACCAACACCATGGCACCTTCCTGTGACACAACTATGCCTCTGACCCAGGTTCCTTCAGACTTCTTCTTCGACTCATCCTTATGCCAAACAAACACGCGGTCACCCTTCGAGTAAGGACCATCAGACGGCATGACTCTCCGTGCAAGGTCCTTCCGAAGGTCAAGTGATTGTCTAGCCTCTTGATGAGCCCGCATGGCAATCCTCTGGAGTTCCAGAGTGGTTCGATCCTCCTCGGCAGGTTCAGCAGAGAGCTGTTCAGGAGAACTGTTCTCGACATCAAACAAGTCTGGTGGCCGTCTTCCTGTAGCTATCTCCAAAGGAGAATAGCCTGAGACGGTAAGCTGGCAATTTCTTGCCCAAGCCACCTTCTTGACTGCTTGACGAACAGTCACCTTCTCTGCATAACCCTCATCAGCTAAGGCCTTGGCCATGATTGCCCAGGTGCGCTTGAAAAGACGCACTGCGGTCTCAGCTCGATTAGGCCAAGGAGTCCGTGGTCCACATGGATACGGAGTAATGCCATGGAACTTGTAGTAAGACATGAACTGTGGCGTGAAAAATGCTTGATCTCCTACGATTCCCTTAGGAACGCAGTTGTTCTCCTCTGTCCATTGTCTAAAAGCTCCCAGAGTCTCTGGCGCTTCCAGGCTTGTAAGAGCCGTAGCCCACAGAAGATTTGAAGCACCATCAATGATGACCAAAGCCAAGTAGGCTTTAGTACCGAACTTGATTTCTTCATGATCAACAAAAATGAGATCACCGAAGGATGATGCTCTTAACCCTGCGATTCTGGCTCGCGGAGGCGTAGGCACCGAGGTGCTACAAACACGACAGCCTTTGACAATGCGGTCGTACTTGTCATAGATCTCTCCTGGCAGACCAAGCATGCTGGTCCTGCGTCGAAACTGAGCAGGACTCATGTGGTAATGCTTCACATGCAACTTGTAAAGCTCAACATCATTGTTCAGCTTTTCCAACATGCGCTGATACTGCGGAGAAGCCCTTGAGACCTCGTGGCCTGGCAACGGAAGCGCGATCCTCCTAGGTTCTAGCGACTGTGGCTCTGGGGCCTTCGGAGGACTCGGAGGAAGCAAATCTGCATCCCCCGGTTCGGAAGGTTCGTACTCTTGAAGATCCGGATCATCTTCAGGAGCAAGAGGAGGAGGAGCCGGTTCCTCGGGTGCCTTTCCCTGTGGAAAGCTTCCCTTGGCTCGAATCCTTCTCTTTGCCGGTGCCTTTCCTTGCGGAAAGCTTCCGGATGCTCCTGTGTTCTTCGAGCTGTCTTCAGGCTTACCTGCGCTAACCATGTCCTCTGGAGATCCCACCTTTCCACGGGTTGGATCCTTGGACTTGGCTGGCACCGAGGTTCTACTCTCGATGCCACCAGGCAGAATCTTGAAAATGGTCTTGCCTTTCCAAGAGTCAGTAGTTCTTGTTGAAGAAAGCTCAGAAGAACGCCAGTCATCTTCTTGAGTAACGCTCTTTCCCTTGGAGAACTCCATGATCGTCTTGCGCTTGGTGTCCAGATACTCCAACGGAATTGGCACATAACCCGCCTTGGGTTCGTACTTGACTCTTCTCATCTTCTTGTGGATGCGAATCATTTCCATGTCGGCTTCGTTGATCACCCATTCATCATCAGTCGCCAACACGAGATTGTCAGGTACCTGTTCATGAGAACAGCATCCCTCGGTCTTCTGATGGAAGCCGTACTCGTAGTGGGAGAAGTAGGTGAGGAAGCTCGACTTCTTATGCTTGCTGAAACGCACATTCCACATCAGCTGACTGAGTTCAAGAAGATCAAGTACCAAGTGTGAGCTGGGTGCAACCTTCAGCCTCACATCCTTGATTCCCAGCACAGGGCTGCTGAGTAAGGCCTTTTCCGGATGGAGCTCGAACTGGAAACGAAGATTGCGCATCTGAGGTAAGGACATGAGAATGGGAACATGCCCTTGTTCCACAATGTCGAACTCTGTGGATTGAACTGCAAAGTCCCGGTCGTACATGCAAATGACCAACTTCTGGTTGCATTTGGTAGACTCGGAATTGGCAAAGGTGAACTGAGAAGTGGTCTCAGCAATGGTGTACCATATGCCACAGTTCTGGTTCTTGTCACAGAACTCCATGAGGTCCTGTGCGGCCACTCTCGAAGCCATTGCTCTCGTGCATCCCAAGGTCCAACACCATCGCGGTCGGCGTCAAGGGCTGAGAGATGAAGGCTTCCTCGATCTCATTGATCTTCTCTTCGGTGGCCATGAAAGAAAAGTTCGGAGTGTTGAGATGTTCAACGAAGAAGGTTGTGGCGGCTGTGGTGCCGCTCGGGGCAGCATCAGCAAGCTGGCTCTGTCCGTCTTTTCCGGACTTTCCATCTTTTCCATCCTTGCCAAACTTGCTCTTTCCTTTGCCCTTCTTTCCTTTCTTTCCTTTTCCTTTGGCTGCATAGGATTCCTCAGACTCATACCAGGACCAGTCATCCCAGGACTGATCGCTCCACTGGTAATCTTGCCATTGTCCTTCTGCTTGCCATGCTTCTGATTCTTCGGCAAGATGTGACCTGCCTTTCTTCCTTTTGAAGAAGCGCCTTCCTTTGGATCCTTTGCCACCTTTTCCTTTGCCTTTACGGTGGCCCTTGAATCCGCGCCTCATCTTGCGGCCTTGGAAGCGCCGCTGGAACCATGAATAGTTCTCGTCGTCGTAGACCCAGAAGGCGTCCTCATCCGCTTCGAGGAAACCTTCGGTGCCATCTTCCTCGTCCTCGACCCAGTAGCCTTCATGATCGTTCAAATATCCTTCATCGATCACAAGGAAGGTCTTGCGGCCACCGTGGCCGGAAGGAGCGAGGAGTGGATTGTCGACGGTAGTCTTGGTCGTACAGAAGATCTCCAGGTAGACTTCGCGAAGCTCGGCCGTGTTGTAGTCAGCCAGGACTCGGTTCCGATGCGCCATCAGTGATGTCAACACCTGACGCTGATCCTGTGTCAGATCAGACAGGGACACAAAGATCAAAGCGACCAGGTTGGGCGTGATCGGAATGGTCCGAGCATGCTGCTCTCTGAGCCGTTCGTTGGCTCTCTCCATTGCCTGAGCTGGCGTAAGGTTTTCTTGTTCTTCTGGAGGAAGTCCTACTATGAAAGCTCTGACCTCTGCATTGTTCGGGTCCTCGATCGGCAGATAGGTATCGTTCCACGCTTCTTGCATTCTCTGAACAGAGAGTTGAAACCTGGTAATCCAACGAAGCATGTCTCCGTTCCCACGGTGCATGTTCATGAACTGCTGGAAGCGATAGAGAAAAACATTCGCTGCTCCCTTCACGAAAAGCGGCCGCAGGAAACTCTTGAAGTACTTCACTCCGTTGTTCGGGTCCTTCAGGCGATCTCTGTCGAGAAGTCTCTTGTGGATTGCTGCTTCACCTTCTAGCCGATTTCTCAAAGCTGGTCCACGCTTATCATTGTCTAGCTCAGTAATGTCACACCAGTCATCGATCGCATCTTCATAGGCAAACCAACTGCTTCTACCATCATAAGATGGAGGTACTTTTGTGGTCACCTGCTGGAAAGCTGAAAGACGGTGTAATTCATTGAGATGACGATGATTAGTCGCGAAAGATTCATTTCCGTGGAGGAGGTAGTCATCATCTCCTCCTTCATGCTCAAAGATAGTCGCAGAGTGGCTAGCCATTGCGCTGTTCTTGGATCGAGCCCCGGGAGAAACCTCTTCCGGTTATCTTCACCTGAGTGAAGTGTGCCGGAGAGACTCCGGTCACCTTCACCTGAGTGAAGCACACCGGGTATTCCGGTTGCCTCCACCTGTGTAGAGAGTACCGAACGGGTACCTCCACAAGTGTGAAGCTTCCCGTTTCCCGGGAGCTCCGCTACCACGTTGAGATGTAACCTGGACGTGTATCCCCTCGCTAGGCGTACAGGAACACAGGCACTCAGGTGTCTCTTTTGCTACAGGCGCACAGCTGTAGTCCACTGCACTAGAACCTTGAGCAACAGGCATGGATACATGCAAGTGATACGTGAAACAGACAGGCACCTGGATGTGTAACATTCAGTGTTTCACCCTCCCCCCCCCCCCCCCCCCCCCCCCCCCTCCCCCCCCTCCCCTACCCATTCCTCGCACTTCGTATCAACAACCGGGTTTGACAGGCCGCCCTAGCACAAAAAAAACATCGACTGCCCCCTCACCCTGCCGCTACACAGCCGAGGCGGGCGGCGTAGCGTTAAAATTAGCACTTACTAGTAGCCTGAAACAGCTGTTGTCCTACCGACCACTCCGTTCAAGCGAGCAGCGATCTCGAACCACAAGTTCTGGCACGCGACCTCGGCAGTATTCGTCCGGTTGGGAGGCAGGGCTTCTTTTCGGCTCCTTCAGTGCACGTCTTGAGAGTCTTTGAGGCTTGGTACTTTGGATTTGGAGCTCATGGCTTTTTTTGAGAGTTCAGGGTTGAGGGCTCAGGCTCCAGGTTTCAGGGTTTAGGGTTTGGGTTTAGGGTTGATCTAATGTTCTGGAAGGACCAGCTGCTCTTCCCAGCAACTGTATGACTCCCTCGAAACTGATCTCTTCGAGCTCTGCAGAAGATCAGCTAAGGACACTCCGGGTTCGTTTGAGAAGCTACAGGAGCGAGCTTTTATGTCGACGGAGTAGAGATACGATGTTAGTCCCGTCATAGCTTGCTTTCCACTTCTCTCTGGTGGCTGAATCAGTCCGAGGCGCATATTTCGTGAAAAGCTCCTTCGCACCCGCCACGACTCCTGAGCCACAACTGGTGAAAACAAGCAAGTGCCGGCATGTGTTTGGCTCCAGAGATAGCTGCAGACACGTTACATGGCCTAAACGAGCTTGGAAAGAAGAGTCTGCCGCCCTGCACTACATTTTGCCAGGCATCTGTCGGAAGAGGCAACTTCTTCGATGACATGGCGCTCTTGTAACATCCTCCGTCAAGGCAGGTGCAAAGTCGCATACTGAAAAGGTCAGGTGCTTCGTCCCGTCCCTTCGCGTCGCGTGTCTCGTCTCGCATCTCCTCTCCTCTCCTCTCCTCTCCTCTTCTCTCCTCTCCTCTCTCTCCCCGATCTTGTTCCCCAAGGCCGCCACCAATTGGCCAGCAGAAGCAGACCGCACCCCGAAACCTCCCCTTTCTCACCCCGGCTGCTGTCGGCACTCCCCCCAACTTGCTCCATGGAACTCCTTGCTGAAGCGCCAGATCTCCCCAGGCAAAGAAAGCGAACCCCAAGCACTCTCGAATGAGAAACGAGAGGGGGGTTGAAAGGAGGCAAGCCAACGCCCTTGGAACCAGAACCCCTGCCTCTCGAGGGCTTGGCAGCGTCGAAGATCGGCATCTGCTTTGCTTTGCAGTGCCTTCCAAAGCAGGCTGTTCGCCTCGGCAACTCAGCGTGATGCGACTCGGCCCTACCAGACCCATCTGCTTGCGCAGCATCCCTCCACAGCAAGCCTGATTCTGTTCAGCGCTTTGGTTTTAGCCACATCATGCCACATCGAGGCAACACAAACTAACGAGGCAGGAGGCATCCAAATCGATCTGTCTTTCATCTTCCTGTTGTACCGCTTGGAGTATCCTCAGAGTTGCTCTCAGCCCTCTAGCGGACCACAATGGATCCTCGCAACGCGCAAACAATCGATAAACACTAGGCAGCAAAGCTTCAGGCATTCGTCATGCAGCTGGATTCGCACACTGCCAGAGAAGTAGATGCAGCTTCGGGCGACAGCCACTGCCAGGAGGCTCGGTGTCTTCATCTCGTCTTTCTTCTCCTGCAGCTTCGAACCGGTCTGTATGGTCTGCATGCTCATTGGCCGATTGTGGGCAACTTCAGCTGCCCTTGGTGCTTCAGGTCAGGACAAGGTGAGGGACATCGGGAGACTAGCCTGACGCAATGACAAGTCCAAACTCTTAGAGACTCGAGACCGTTTCCGGCGGAGGCTCAGGACCCTCTTGGCGTCCTCCCCAGTCAAAGACTTTGACTGCACCGGCAAGACCCAGACGGTGAAGCTGCCAGCTTTCTCCATGGCGTGGCTGACGAATCGCCTGCTCGGAGCCAAGACCTGGGTAGCTGTCAAAATTAAGATCCCTTTTTGGGGTACCCTAAACAGTAGGTACTCAGTAGGTGCCGTATCATAATAGGGACCCACAAAGGGGACCCTAATTTTGACAACCACCCACCTGGTGCTGCTTGAACATCAAGTATGCGAGTAAGCTGGGAATCAGGAGGCCGTAGCAGACGGCGCAGAGAAGGGCGATGCCATCTGCCTCGTTGCGCACTTTCACCGGCTTCTTCAACTGTGTTTGCTGGAGAACCCTCAACAAGTCCAAACCAAGTGCGCATGATATCCGACGCTATGCCACTATGCCAAGATCTCTTGACTCTCAGAGGGTCTGGAGGTCCAACTCCCCAAACGATCAGCAGCCTAGCGGCAACCCGCGCAGGCTGAGAGCACTTGATCTCGGGCATTGCCGTTCGGAAGGCATAGTTCTCTCCCAACCAGTTCTTGCCTTCGGGAGTGCTGCCGCACCGTAACAGCAACATCGTGCACCATCTACCTGCTGCATGATCCTGCGCGGCAGGACACTGAGGCCATCTGAGGCCGCCTCGCCTCCATCGACATGCTGGCAGCGCATGAGCGACGCGCAGCTGGACGCACCCCCGATGTACAGCAAGGAGAGGACCTTCAGCGCCATGCTGACACCTTGGCAACTTCGGGGAATCTTGTAGAAACTGCAAAAGCTTGGCCCCGCAGGGCTGAGGCCAGCACCGCTTCCATGGGAGACCGCTTCTGGGAGCATGCAGAGTGCCAGCAGTACCACAGGCACGCAGGGCCCCACTTGCGCCATCACGGAGTTGGCTGTCCTTCGACACACGTACACATATGCCATCATGCAACTAAGATCTTAGCGTCATGGGTGGGTTGTGTCTGCAAGCAGCAATGATTGATTCTGGTCGCTCATCGGTCCTGCCGAACCAGCACTCCAGGCTCGTTGCGTCGCGGAAGCCCGATGCAGTGAGCTGAAGCCACAGGACATATTCCTGCGACATGAGAAGGCACGCCACAGCTCAACCCAACCAAAGGGGACTCGCACAAGGCTGGCTCCTCAGCCCACAAGTCATCTGGCCGCTGTCTGCCTTCGGGTCTTAGGTGCAGGGCCACCAGCAGCCCCCAGAGCTGGAAGAGCTGCAGCAGAACGAGGCCCTGTGCCACCAACAAGGGCTGCATCACCTGCAGCTTTATACCAAAACTCACAATTCCGCAGGACCAACTCTCCGAATAAAGTCACAAAGATTTTCCGTGCCCCTCGTGCCGGCTGGCCACACTCCACCTTGTCGGCTCTGCAGGCTCCGCTGGCAGGCTGCGGTTCCTACTGAGGCCAGGTGAGATGCGCAGAGACATGCTCTGCTGTTTTCTGCCCCCTCACCGAGACCATCCGAGACCACTGCTGTAGGGGTGCTAGCATCTGACCATGCAAGAGATGAACGGAGCTACACTTCACGCCTTCGCCACAGGAAGAATGAAGCTCCCATCACCGCCACGACAGTTGTGGCACCGGCCACCCAGCGCAAGTACTTCCTGGCCGATACGCAGCTGTTCAGAAATCGTTCGGGCAGGCATTCGGCTGCTTCCGGCGACTTCGGGCACCAGGTCACGGAAACAGGTTCTGCACGGTCATCTTAAGATGTAAGCTACTGTAGATGGCCAACCGAAACCAAGTTTTTGGGTGTGCTGCTTCATCTTGCTTCCCAGCAGCCAGCGTGTGCGTTCATCGGAGCCCACTTCGCAGGGCGTGCATGCACCAGCCCTGCTGCGGTAACCCCACGAGCAGGCCACGCAAAGCGGACCTTCATAGCCTCGGCTTTGGACAGCAACACAAACAAGAGCTGTCCAAACCTTGGTGCCTCGGCAGCCTGTGGTGGAATTGCACGCCCGGCAGCCGGCTGCACAGCCCAATGCAGTGCCGTTGGCAGACACGTTGCAGCGATCCTCGGCGGGTTCCAGGCACCTGCAAGCGTGGGAATGACGATGCTAAGCCCGACCCAATTGCGGCTGCAGGCCTAAATGTGCTTGGAGCTTCAGCTTCTAGGCGGGCATAGCCGACCTGGACACATGGCCACTCTCCCACGCTGGCTCTTGAACCTCTGATCTGGGGCGGCCTGTGGAGGTGCCGAGCTTGCTTCAAGACCGTGCTGTTGGCAGTCCTGCCGGTACGCTGCGACGGGCGATGCGACGATAACCACTTGTCATGTTGAAGCTACAAGTTCCGGTTTGTCTCCTGTAAAGGACTTACCTCTGCATGTACTGCAGGGCTCTTTGCAGCTTACGCTCTGGAATGCGACTACTTCACTCTCGCTTGAAAATGTGCTGCAAAGATCCAGAGGCTTTGCGTCTCCAACCGCGAAACGCCTCAATTGCTCGTCTAGATTCGCAGCGCCGAGTGTCAAAGCTGTGCAGAAAAGGCAAGCCTTCATCTGAATCTTTAACCTCTTGACAACATTGTCGGGCTACAGTTCGTCTTGGGCGTATGGGCCTGCGCAGCCTGCAAAAGAATGGTACTTCGCAAGTCGTTCTTGTTAACACAATGGCGAGCGTGAGGTGGGGGTCAAAGTCTATTGAGTCTACTGCCTCTCTGCCTCAACCCCAACTTGGTGGCTGAAGGTTTAGGATTGAGAGCATAAGGCTTAAGCCATGAATGCCCAAGCCAGCTCTACGATTCTCTGCACTGTCCAGGTGCAGCTTGGAACAGTCTTCACAGCCATTCCTGAGGCGGCCGAGAGTGATGCACATGACGCAGCTTAGCGACCTAAAACCCTAGGCTAAATAAGTCTCTAGAAGCACTACATACTGGGCAATCCCATGCTCTGCGCCCACCCTACATGATACCCCAACCCCCTCAACGTAAGGACCCCTAAACGCTTGACCTACCATGTCCTGAAGACTGCATCTTTAACTGCACTCTCCTCCCTTTCTGAGGCAATCCTAAACCCCGCCCCCACCCCGAACCCGATACTATCCCAAAACCCAAAACGATTCAAACGAAACAAACCCCGAACCCCCGAATTTGAATCGGCTGCAAGCGTCTTGTAGAAAGCCTTCATCTCCTCGCACTGGCAGTATGCAGGCCTTTGCTTCAACAAATCCGGCAGCATCCTGCGCAGTATGCAGCTCGACCGGCTCAGAGGCGTTCGTAGGATTGAGGGTTCAGGCAGCGGAATGTAGGGCTTGTCGGGTTTGCAGGCTTGTTTGCAGTTCCGAACCTTCTCCTGTTACTTGGCAACATGGCGGCATTCGGGCAAGCATCGAAACTCACACCTGAAGTTTAAGAGCAGAGTTTAGAGCCGACTGTTGTTGGTCTTGGTCAGTAATTCATGTTCCCACAGGGTGCACTTCAAGCAGGCGAATTTTTACAACAAAGAACACAAGCCGCCATGGCACCACCAACTAGCAGCACTAGCAACAATGATGTTCAGGCTGCTGTCACGCCTCGTGGAAATAGCAGGCAATCCTGGAGCACACTTGTCAGAATGGCTTGTCAACGTCCAACCCGAATCCAAAACGAATCGGATCAGAATCAAGTGCTGTCCTGCCAAAGGCGCACTGGCAGCTGTTGATTGAAGAAGCCCCAGCTTCCGCAGTGCTGCTGCTGCTGGGGCATTCCACGCAGCTGCTGTTAAACTGCTCGTTGTAGCTTCCAAGGCCACACTTGCGGCACTGAATGCCACTGCCTTGGAAGCCCTCGCTGCACGCACAGAGGCCTGTCGGCCAGAACAGTGATGGTGAGACCTTCAGGGACGGCGACGTGATGCCGAAGCAGGCATATCCCCCTCGCGACTGCTTTCGGTCAAATTCGCCGTTTTCGTCAGAGTGCCATCCGAGAACAACTCTGCAACAGCCTCTGCGTTGGCAACCTTTGTCGAAGCGAGGTCCACTTGCAAGTTGGTTTGCACGGCCTTCTGCAGCGCACGCTTCTCCACGAACATGTCTGAGTTGTTCGCCAGAGACACATAGACGCTGGCGCTGAAGCCAGCAACCTGGTGGATCCTGTTGTCTGCAACGTCTAGGCTTTGCAGAGCAAACCTCAAAGGCTGGTCGCATCTCTGATTGAACGAACTGCCATCCACGCTGATGTCTTTCAGGCAACCCCCCATCATGTCCGGCAACTCGCCAGAAAGGTTCGCTCTGTTGGCTATGATGCGGGCCAGACGTCCTGAAAAAGAAAAGATCTTCAGCAGATCCTGCACTTCACCATCCAGTGGACAGTGCCAGACCTGCGACATCAACTGGTCTGAGGGATGGGGGAAGGAGCACGGCAACACTACCGAACTGCAGCGAAGCGGCGTCTAACGTCAGGAGAGCTGGAAGAAGCCGCTCAGACTCGTTGCTGAAGAACCGTGACCGAAGATCTTGCAGATCGGTTCCGACCGGAAGGACATTGGCCCGGCTCCCCTTGGGTTCTGAGATTCAGGCTATGCCGTGCTGCGAAAGATTTTGAGGCTGAGGCTGCGAGCTTCAGCGTGTGGAGGTGCAGGAGGCGGCCCCGCCACGAGGTTGTCAGGCGCCCGTGGACCCGCGTGGAGCTCAGATCCGCCTGGGGTGTGGTGAGGCTACGGGTCTCCACTTCTCAGACTCTGCAAACTCTGTAAGCCCGCAACCAGCCTCCTCCAAGCTGCTCATCCCAATCAGCTGGCTGATGTCATCCTCCACATTGGTGCCCTGCAGCCGGAGCAGCCTCAGGTTCTGCAGGTCTGCCAAGGGCTCCAGAGGTCCACTGACTTCGGTGTTGTCCAGCAACGCCTCCTTCAGCCGATGCATGTCTCTCAGGGCTTCCAACTCTCCGCTGATGTTCGTGTTGCTGAAAAGCAGGAATTGCAGATTCCTGAGGTTCGCTAGGGGCGCCAAAGGTCCACTGACCCCAGTCTTGTCCAGCCACAGCTTCTGCAGCTCATGCATGTCTCTCAAGGCTTCCAGCTCTCCGCTGATGTGCGTGGTTTTTAGAAGCAGCTCCTGCAGACCTCCGAGGTTCGTTAGGGGCTCCAATGGTCCGCTGACCCCAGTGTTGTCCAGGCACAGACGCTCCAGCTGATGCATGTCTCGCAGGGATTCCAGCTCTCCGCTGATGTGCGTGTTGCTCAGCAACAACTCTCGCAGACCTCCGAGGTCCTTTAGGGCCTCCAGGGATCCGCTGACCTCAGTGTTGTGCAGCCACAGCTTCTGCAGCTTGTGCATGTCTCTAAGGGCTTGCAGCTCTCCGCTGATACTCGTGTTGCTCAGCAGCAGGTATTGCAGACTCCCGAGGTTCCTCAGGGGCTCCAAAGGTCCACTGACCCCGGTGTTGTCCAGCGACAGCTGCTCTAGCTGATGCATGTCTATCAGGGGCTCCAGCCCTCCCCCGACCTTCGTGTTGCTCGCAAGGAGCTCGCGCAGGCCTCTGAGGTTGGTCAAGGACTCCAATTGTCCACTGACCACGGTGTTGTCCAGCCACAGCCGCTCGAGCTGGTGCATACCTCTCAAAGCTTCCAGCCCTCCAGTGATCTTCGTGTCTGACAAATACAGAGACCGTAAGCTCGTGAGATCTTTGAGAGCCTCTAGCTCACCACTGATGCTTATGTCCTCTAGGTCCAATGAGCGTATGCACCTGTTCTCATCGAGCTGGACTCCTTCCCACTCATCGGGATCATCGCCGCGGAGCTCTCGTGCCGGGACTCTGAGCTTCTCTTGGATGCTTCGCAGTTGCTCGGCCGAGGGGCCTGAGTTTCGAGCAAGTTTACCAAGTCCAGAGAGTCCGAAAATTGGTGCCGGGTTTAGGACATACGGTTTTGGGTTTGGGGTTCAGTGCGGGCTCTACTGGCATGAGTCTCTCCGGAGCTGACAAAACTGCCTGCGAAGTGCCCTGAGGTCGATAGAAAAGCATGACCATGCAAAGCAAACCTAAACCATCCCAATGTCAGATACGAGTTTTGTCTGCCCGAGAACCCTAAAGCCTGTCAGCCCTAAGCCCTCAACCTGAATGAATTCGATGGCCCAAAACTCTAACCCCAAACCCTCTGCAGCCAAAGCGACAGTGTCCTTCGCTTCGACCGATTTGGCCATCCAGGTTCTGCGCCTCTGCCAGCAAAGCGCAGGTTCTGCACATGCCCCTAAACCCTAAACCTAAACCCACCAAAGCAAATACATAGCATCACAGTTTCAACGTCGATCGGGTGATCACCAGACCGAGTCTAGCAGTGACCGACGGCCGCCACGGTACAAGAAAACCCCCGAGCAGAAGTCGCCAATGGCCTAATTTCAGCCTAACTTAGCTTTGAAAGTCCTCTGGAACAGTCGGAAACAAAATCGCCTTCTCAAGGCAAGAAGGGGCCCTATAGCTCCGTCCTAAAGTCCAAAGGCAGGAAAGGTGCCCAAAAAGGAGCCAAGCAGGTGGGCAGAACAGGGAGCAAAGCCGGAGAAGTTCTTTCACAAAGCCATGAAACTTCTACGGTCCAGAAGCAAGATCGGAGAGCCCCAAGGAGGTCAACTCGTCAGAAAGCAGATCGCAACTCGCGACTTCAAGAATCAAGTCACCAGCTGTCGGCCCCGCTTACATGCGAAAATGCTGTTGTAGGCTTTGCAAGGCAAGATTTGAATGTGCTAGTAGCTAGTAGGTTTGGGGACGGTCAAGGCCATTCCGGCGTCTCTGTGAAAGTCCCTTGCCTGCTCTGGCGTCAGCGCAGCATCTGCTCGGGCATCCAAACTTTCCTGTCTGGTGCTTAGTAGCGAATGGGGGAATGGGTTATGGGGACTACTTTTGGGAATTATATAAGGACTACTATAGGAATCCATTCCCCCATTCCCTACTAAGCACCAGGGAGTTTCTGCGGGCAGCCTCCAAGCTCTCGGGACGCTGACTGGGACAGCTGCCCGAAGGTGGGGCGTTCAACAAACCATCAAGTCGCCTAAGCCTGATACAAATAGTATTCACAAAATCCACAAGGACAAGACCCTGTAAACCCCACGCCCAGTCCCCCAGCCTGCGCTACAAACCTATCTACCAGACCATATGGAAGGGACTGCCTTTAATTTCAACACTGAACCATGCGAGCTGTAAACCAAGCAACCGTAAAGACCCTCCACCCACCCTAAACCCTAAAACAGTTCAACCTCTCAAGGCGAAACCCCCTCCCCCCTCTGCTGAACGTTCTCAACCCAAGTCAACCCCTCCGGAAGCTCGTGGACGTACTCCAAGCGGTCGCGCGAGGCCAGCAGCAGGACGGCCAGTGGCGCCAGGCACAGGGCCAACAGCTGCATGAGACCAAACACCACAAGACTCAATGCAAAACTTTCCGCCTTCCCGGTAACTCCCCCGCTTTCCAGTGGCCCGCAAGGACTAGCTGTTCCACCCCCAAACTAAGCGCCCAAACCCAGGACATGTTGGTCTTTTCTACTCCAAGGACTGGAAACTCCGATCCCACGAGGACAGTGTTCCTGGAACTTCCGACTTTGGGAAGCTCCTTGAGCTCTATGGGTTCGACTAGCAGTTCAGCAACAAGGAGATTTGCACGGATTTGATGAAGTCTTACTGGGAATGAGGAATGGTCCGCAAACCAGGTAGCACACGGTTTGCCAGATTTGGATCATCTGCTACGCTACTGCACCACCACCCGATGCCCGAAAGCCCATCCCAATAAACCAATACATGTTCATCCCACACCTAAACACCAGAAACCCTAAATGGGCAAAGCTGGTCGGATTCCATTTACAGGTGGTCGTAATATGGAACATCTTCCATGAACTCATCCATGACCGAAACACTCAAGATGATGCCTATCAGGCCTATCAGACCATGGAGAAGTGTTTTGCAATGTAGTCTGCGGTACATGTTCGTAGCAGTTTTGGTGTACAAGTTTTGTGACAGCACTCCCGAAGCCTGAAGCCTGTGTGTGCAATCGCATTTGTCTTGTGGTGCAGCAGTTGCAGTTAGGCTCGGTTATGTGCGAGACCGACAGAAATACAGGAGCATTGGGTGCCTGTTCACATGCCTGGAGGAAAAAATGGACTACTCTGCGCCAAAATGAGCCTTCGACCGCTTAATGGAGCGAGTTTGGCTTGATGGGCAGCCCCAGCGAAAGCAGCACACGAGACTCGGATAAACGGAGGACTTTCTGAAGGAGTCGCGCATCATGTGCAATGAGAAGTAAGCTTTGCTACCTTTGCGCCTAAGCGCACTGTGGAGGCAACGTTTGGACTTGTAGGTCGAAAATACTCTGTGCTTTTCCACCTTTCATGTTGTTTGGGCAACAGTAAAGGATTCATGATGACGTTGGCGCGAATTTCTCACCAAAAGATGAGCAACAGGCTCTCATCCTTCGCTCCCAAATTCAAAGGTCTCAGCGGCTACACAGGAACCGAAAGCGAGATTTGGAGCGGCAACTTGCTCAAAGGCGTTACAGACTTACTGTGGAGGTCATCTAGCGTGTCCTTCGTTCCTTGCCGTTTTTGGGCCAAAATTGGGTCCACGTGCTTCGTCTTGTGCTGTCCGCAGCCCCTTTCTTTGTTGCATTTACGTACATGTTGAAACCCTTGAAGGAATAACCCTTGCAGCTGCTGCAAAAAGAGCCAAGTCTCCTTTGCTGAACTGCTCACGGCTCCGTCTTAAACATGAAACGGGGAAGGCGTGCTGGTGCAAGCGCGAGAAAACCGTGTCGAAAGTTGCATTTGTTTTCGAAGGCCGGATGTCATCTCATCTCTTTAAGGAGGCTTTGAACGGGAGACCCCAGGGATTTCTGAGAGGCCCAAGCACGGGTTCTCCCAGCCTAAAGGATTTTTGTTACAATTGGGTTCTGGCGGCGTTGGTTGAAAGCGAACCAGCAGACGTGGTTTGAGAGCACTTGATCCAAGAGTCGAAACAGGATGCTTCTGGGGTTTTGGTCGAAAGTGAAAGCAACAGACGTGGTTTGGGGACGTACCGTTGAGGTCACATCAAGCGTCCTTACTCTCGGACCATTTACAGGTTCTCGTTTTCGGAGCCGCACATGTCCAGCAAATCTAATGCGCACTGAGACCTAGAATGCAAATGGTCTTCCGATCAGCCAACCCGCCATGCACAACTGCGGAATGTTTGGTCACGCGGAAACCTGCCACAAAACACCGGTTTCCGAAGAATGGGAATGTGCATCAGAGCGCCAGCATGCTAGCGCAAAGTTATCAGGCGCATTTCAGAAGAAGGGACACCTCATGTGCTCGCAAAGAAGGGACACATGATGTGCATCGGAAGCGAGACAAGCGAACGTGTAGGTGAAACAAGATCTCAAGCAGCATTCACGCAGGACGAAAGGCGAGCCTCGTACACATCGTGCATGAAACCAAAGAACGTGCCTCATGATGAATAGGGAGATGCACACGTGTAATAGCTTTGGAGCAGATAAAGTTTGGAATACGGCAACAATCTCCGACTTTCTGGTAAATTTCCGGCATCCGCTTCGTCGTCCAGTCATCATAAACCTCTGCTTTCACCCACTCCAAGCAACCCACACCCCTTTCAAACGCAGGTGCAAATCACTCCAAGCCAAAGTCCAATCCAAACATGGGCAAACCCCGCCCAAATATCCGCACGGCCATTCCCAATGACTGAGCCGCGCCATAGCACACTGGAATAATGGGCGGACGGCTCCAAATGCTGTGTACTACAAAACAAGTGAAAAAAGCCAGCTGCTGCATCCATGCAGTATGCGCCAAAACGGTCCAAGCGCAAAATGCAAAGATTGAACCTCAACCTGTTGAGATGCGGTTTCTAGTGGCGCTTGGTCACAAAAATAAAGTACTCTGCAAGCAGCGCACACCATACGGCGTTCTCCATGCAATAGCAAGCGTTTATTTTCCAAACCACGCTGAAGAAGGCGTACCGAAGGTTGCAAGAAAAAGTGCTCCAAATGCTGACGTGATTTAAGAAAATCTCTGCAACTAAGTTCTTGTTTCTTCACGAAACAACGTGTCACTTTGTCTTTGACCTTTGCCAGCCCTGCCACGCTGCCTGTTCTCTCGAGGCGTCTGTTGCGAGCGATGCACAATAGACATAACAGAGCAAACCGAAATTGTAGGCTGCACAGGGCAAACTCATGTGAAAGCCTTCTGAATGATTTGACGGGCTCATGTTCGAGGAGGATGGGCCCCACCCCCTTTGACAAAGGGGGGCTTAAGCCCCCCTTGAAGCCCCCCTTGAAGCCCCTTTAAAGCCCCCTTTAAAGGGGTCTCCACTAAGGGGTGAGCCGATACACCCCTTTAGGATTACTCCTGTGGGAGTGTATGACCAGTTTGTGTCCCGTGGGATCTAAGGCAACGCCCAGCACACGGACAGCGAGTGTTTTGTTCTGCTACGCAGAGAGAGCTTGTGTCAAGTCGGTAAAACCACTTGAGCCAGCGAGCAGCGGACATGTATACATGTGAGCATGCAGCCAAGCCATTGCTGTAAGTACCACCCCTTTAGAGGTTTAGGCAAACAAACAGACACTAATTTTCTTTTACTGAAAGCATGGCCGCGTGTTCACACGTATACAATTAAAAGTGCTCACTGTGCTCAAGACTAGCGGAGTATGGACTCATTGTAAAGGATGATATCTTAGATATTCCATGACTGAAGAAAAGGTTACACACACACTCCTTTTGGAACTTGCAAGCATGAGTCTTGTCAGAGAGATCTTCTGTACATGATCAGGTCTGTGACTACTACTACATGGAATTATGCAGCAGCTCACTGGGCTCTTGTTAGAACATTAACTTTCTTTCTTGACTGATGCAGAGGATTGTTTACCTCTGTGTTCCATCCATGGTTGGATCATAGGATCTGCTGATGACGCTCGGATGTGACTCATCCGGGTCCGAATGGTCTTCCTCGTCGCTTGAGAAGATTCCAAGCATCAGTCGATTTTCTGCTCTTGTAAAAGCAGGATCTGGTGTGCCATATCCGTGTTCGGATGTTTCCGGCCTTGCCTCTGCTTTTGGCGCAGCTTGTGAGCTGGTTGCCTGGGAGTAACTTGGTGGACATGCTTGCTGCACAAGGTGTTTAGCTTTTGCCTTCGCCTTTGCTCTTTGGCGGCTTTGTCCATCGGAGGATGGCCATGAGTGCTCTGACTCGTCTCCTGATGGAGATAAAGCGTTAGCATGTCTGCTATCCCAGTGCTGATGTGTTGAAGGTGACGGTGGTCCGTCTTGCTCTTCTTCCTGATCGCCCTCTGAACTCTGGTCGTCAAAGAGGGTCTCCAGGACATTCCTGAGATTCTCATGTCTCCTCTCGATTTCGAGTGAGGAGTGGACTAATTGATTGAAGATCGTCCTTGCATTTTTCAAGGCTGTGACAAGAATCTGTACTCTGGATAGAGTGTCGGTGTGCTTGTCAATGTGTTCTTTTCTCTCATTTCTGTCCCTCTCGGTAGAGTTTCTCAGAGCTACTGTATGATTGAGGAGATTCGTATACCTTTGCAATGGCATGGTGACAGTCAAATTGTCATTTATGACTATTGAACCATCATCGTTAGTAAGGCTCCTTTGGAGTACTTCAATGACTGGCACAAACTCCGTGCTGAAAGGTTCTTCCTCATCAAAAGTTTCAATATGCTGTAGCATACTTTGATGAAACTGTTCGGTCGTATCGATCGTGGCATCAATGGTATCGATGTGCCGCAGGATGATATTGCTGCACATCTGATTTACAGCCGAACCATGTTTGGTTTCATCAATTGCTGTATCTGCTTGATTGCAGAGTCCACGGTCATGGGCTTCCTTGATAGCCTTGCGCTGAATGCGCTTGTTCATGCCGCCTCGTCTTGTAGGACCCTTTGGTCTTGCCGAGGATGCAGATGCCGATCCTTGAGAGGATGCCTTGGCCTTAGGCGGAGGATTTTTCGGAGGAGGTGAGATACTTGCTGCCTTGGAAGGCACTGGTGGCACTGCAACAGGTGTTGATGATTTCGCACTTGATAGTGCCGCCTGACCTCTGGCCTTTGCTGCCGAGCTCTTTGGAAACGTGGTGTATGTCACACCTAGAGCCTCGTCGGCCATTTGTGCGGTCAGGGCTTCCTGAAACAACTCCCTCATCTGAGGAATGTTGCTGGAGTTCTCATAAGCTTGAAGACGATCAATGTCTCTTTCGGTGCCACGTGGTCGTGTATCACCACTGTTAAACGGATCGTTTCTCCGGATCTCCGCCGTTGATACGAGATGGGACGCATTGTTTTGCAGAGAATTTTCCGCGACTTATCTCTGGCCTGTTCAAGCTGATAACAGGTACTGGAGAGATGGTAGCACTGACTGCT